TTCCAAAGGAAGCCTTCCACGGATATTTTGACTGAACTGCTGACATACAGAGTAATGTTTTGTGATGAATTTGCTCTTTAATGCCAAAAAAATGTTGTCACCTTTTTTAAAACGCAACATCACATTCAACTGCCTTTTCTTTTAATCTTTTATCTTTACTTTGTCCATTGAATTCTTTTGTGTGCATTAAAAAGTGGCCTTCTATAATTTTAAAAAATACGCCAAGTTGTATGATATAACTGTTTGTTAAACTGCGCATTATATTATTATATCTATTTGTTAAATAAAACATTTTTAATTACTTATCAGCTGGTTTATACCCTTGTATCAGTATGAAGTGATAAAATAAGGAACTGTGGGATATCGAATAATCAATATCTACTCTAGGTTTCAATATCCCACAATTCCTTATTTTATCAAGTAACTGATTTTACATGACATGCTTTGAATGGTTTAAAAATGCTACATTTGGGACAGGCATTTGGTAGAAAACTTAACTTACAATGTAGACTAAAATTATCAGAAAACAAAAAAGATATGAAATTGTAATTTAATTCTAATTAGATAGACCTATCTTAGGTTCAGATTATCTCAATAAATGCAATAATGGATTTTAAATTTAGTTTTTCTCTGTTGGTTTTACTTGCAGTTTAACATCTGACAAAATTGTTATATTTTGAGTCATTTAATAATCAAGAAATCAAATTCTCGGTTATAAAAATATTTCTTTACACATAAGGAATTCTTGAGCATTCAATGTTAGACACTGACTTTTATTGTCCAACCACTTTCTATGATTCGATTGGTTAGCATAAATCAAGCTCCTGGGTCAAAATTCCACAGAACATGATTTAAAGAAGAATCTTGTCAGATCAAGGATGACATGTGTCAGTCACATAAAGAAAAAACATGAAATAAACATCCACATACATATCTGTTAATTAGCTTGAGAGTCCAGGACAATATGTCTATGAAATAAATCCATTTCACCTTATTGGGTGTTTGAAATAATTTTTCAACAGTCGATCAAGACAATGACAACCAAGTAAGATAATTCTCCAGCAGAACCTAGTCCAAATATGGTGGATAATCAACACATAAAGTGACATAAACATCTTAATTAGAATCAGTAATCTTTAATGAGAGCATTAGATAAATACAAATATTCTACACTATGAGCACCAGTGATACAAATTGTAACAATGTAAGAGTAGTCTAATGTCATTAATGACCTTTAATTCCTGATGATTTGATAGGAGCAGTAAAAATATTCCGTATGAAAGTCACCTTTAGCCATGAAAGTAAGTATCTCCTAAGTTGGAATCAATGAAATTGCCGATTTATCATCCACTTTTTCAACTGATGCAATGTCTTTCTTTAACTTGGATATATGCTGTTTAGCCATTTTTAACCGGTCGTTTAATTCTGCTATCTCATGTCTGATTTTCTTTTTAGCATTAATTATATTGTTATTTGTTTTTTCTTTCTTGTCTTCAAAGTCTGTCTCATGTTTGTAAGCACCTATCGAAATTGGTCGAACACTGGTTAACATCTGTTGCATGGCTGGCGTTGGGTCTTGAAACACTAATTCGTCATATAATTCTGCTACTAATGACTTTTTCCCTAACATAATGTCAGTTTCACTTTGAAATAGCTTCAATAAATGATAGAATGTAACTGGTCTCTCATTTCCATTTGGGTCATTAAAAAATATTTTGACAATTATTTCAAATTCTCCCCAACCAGTCTCTGTCACTTCATAAGGTGGTTTGGTAACAATTCTGTTTGGATTGGGATAACTCTCATGAAGTTTGAAGCTCACTCTTTTCACATAAATTGACATATCCTCATTTTTGTATGGTTTGACATACACTGTCCATTGGTGGGTGTGGCCATCTTCTTCCCTTTTCTTTCCGAAATATCTGGCTAAATTACCGTACACAATTGGCTTAACCACAGTCAAGCCTTTAATTCTTCCACCGCCGACAGTTGATTCTTGTCGAACATCCGCCATTGTTTAGTCAATTTCACAAAGAACACTTGACTTTTGCTGTCTCTTACCTCTCAATGGAAGAAATGACAAGAATTTCACACTGGTAGTTTCAAATTATGAATAACCACTAAAATATATATCAATATTTTCATAAAATTTATTTGTTTGTCTTATTTTTCAAAAGTAAATCACATTTAGTCAAAATTTGTGGTGGTCTTTTATCGCCTTTCAAATGAGAAATCTAATAAGGGGAGGTAATTGAAATAAAAAATTTTTTTTACCTACGGACAACAACTAACAGCTCTGAACCAGATTGCAACAACCTTTTACAAGGATAACTTCGGTTTATGAGAATCCTGTATAACAAGTGTTCTTGCCCAAATCTCTTGGCATTGATTATTACTAGATTATCCATACCCATTTACAGCTGGGATGCGTGGAATAATGAAGAAAAATAGGTTATGCATGATCATCTGCACTCACATCAGAACCACTCTCTTTGATTTGAAAACAATAAAGCAGCTAATCAGATATGCTATATTTTAATGACAATGAAATACATTGTAACAGATTGAATGATCAAATAAATGAATGATTGAATGAATGATTAAATGAATGATATATATGTACAATATTTCACCAAGGAGTATTCACAAATAAAAGATTAATTACAAACTCATGATTTCAAAATCCATATAACATTTCAATTGGAAAACTGGAAGGAATGAACAAAATCATGAAGACAATTAATAAATGTGTAATGCCCTTATAACTAACTATATATGTATATTTCTTTCACACGAATTATATTTTGGAAATGAAGATACCTGATAAATGTTCAAGGAAAGAAGCAGAAATAGCCAAAATAATTGTCAATGAACTTATTGAATATATTAATTATATGAAATCTTAACATATAAATTGTTGTCCAAATGTTTGCTTTACCAGCTGATAAGAGCCCAACTTCAGCTATGCATATAAGTTTTTAGTTTACTATCACCAGATATTTAGATTGTTATAAATTTAAATAAACAATTTATAAAATTACCTGAAAATCATTTTAAGTCATTTGCTGCTTTGATGAATCAATTGCATAATAATAATGAGGTAAACAAAATGGAATTTGTGAGATTATATCGTTTTCAGATACATGTACAAACATAGACAAAGAAAGAAATCATCGGTGAGTAAAACCAGTAAAAGACAATCTTGGCTAATCTTCATAAAAAAAGCTACATTGGGACATTGTAGATTTAACAAAACAAATTTTGAGGAATAAGACAGATAAATATTAGCCTTCCCAGTTGATGGAGCTCATTTTAATTGTTTCCTTTTTAATTTTTATTCTGAAAAGTGATACAAATAACTAAAATTGAGCTTTATCATTTGGTAATGCAAATATTTAGACAACTTTATACTTTTAAAGAATGTAATCTGACGTAATGGGATCCGTTTCTCAAAATAAATACAATGGCCTTTTATGGTGAATCTACATTTACACAGTATGTGCTTTACATTTTATTTGTAAGATGTTCTGAGAACTGTGGGCTAGGTACATTAAACTTCAATACATGTATCAACAAAGTTCATTACATTAACATTCTATTAAAACAAAAACTCTGAATTGAAGTCAAGTTAATAACTTCGAAAGTATCTTACAAGTTATTTTTTTACAATTTCATAAAATTAAATACTGCTGCTTTTCCATAAAGCCCATGTATAATAGGCACTTCTTCATGTTTGCATTTGGTTTATAAATTTGTGACAAGAGAGTGTGGGATCGCTCAATTGGTGAGTTCTGCACGTTTATGGAATCAACCAAGGTGAAAACAAGGTGAAACAGACTTCAGAACATGTTCCATGTGTGGCGAAAAAATAGAAGGTGCTGGGTGCAGAAATTCAAATTTGGTGGAGAAGGAAATTCTGAAAGTGACATGTTCTGCTTCTGAATCATTTGAATGAGGACAGAATTAGAACAGACAGAACCTGTTTAGAACTCTCCAATTAAGCTATCCAAAAAAGCATTTGGATTTTCTGTATAATTTGACTAAGATGCGATTGTATCATAATTTAAGCCATGGATGAGCTTCTAAAGACTCTTTGCTCCTATCTCCATAATCATACAGGAGTTCTTCCCCTTTGACTATATCTCGACTAGCTATAATGATGAGATATGGTGTGTTTTTAATCTCGATTAATTTGGTACAGCAATTAAAGGATATTCTACTGTGATTGAGTAGTCTACCTAATTTACCAGATTCAGCTGTAGCATCAATACTGTAAAAAAGAAAGAAAGTGTTTATTAGATTACATTCAATAAATCATGCGCGTCAAAAAAATGAAACAGGTGTTTTACGTCCTACTTTTCTGTTCCTGATGGGCCAATACCTTTTCAGTGAGTTGTATTTAAGCCAATAACATTCTATAGAAGAGGCTATATTATGGTGGAAAAAGAATAGACTAATCAACACTTACCAATAGTGTTTGCCTTTTAGATTAAAATAATACATGTAACAACCAAATTTAGTACTCATTCCATAAAACATCTCTCTATCTTTAGATTCCGCTAGATCTATTAAATCTCCAGCATATTCAACTACAAAATCTCCTTTTTTAAACATTTTAGTTGCTACAACACCTCTTCCTTTATCCTCCATTTTCACAACCTTGACAAATCAAAGTACAATACAATATTGAAACAAGCAAAAAATTGGCAAACACCATGTCATCTTGTGAAATTACCTATCATAACAAATATATAACGTCTCAGCCTAACCCACAAACTTCGATACATAAGCAAAATTTAGGGTATAAGACCACATTAAATATCAGAACACAATTTTATGGTATACTATGACATCATGTTGCAAAAATTGTGTACAATAAAAATTCAACAGTAGTATACCAAAAAAATTGTGTTCTGTTATTTACCTACTATAAACTAGAAACAAACCTCTAATCCATCTTCACAATAAGTCAAAACTTTATCTTCATATTCTATCATTCTTTCTTTCTAAAATAATAATTCATATTATTTGATACAAGTTTTTGGTACAAAAATACCATTTAAACATGCTCTGATCCATGTGCAATAAATATCTGTAATCAACAAGTAACTACATGCTATCAGTGGACATCCACGATAAACAAGAAAAATTAAAAATTTAAAATCCCTTTCATGACTAATATAATGAAATCCACTGGAATGAATATCGCCAAGCCTTCACATTACAATAGTAAAATTTGAATAAAATCATCAACCAACCTCTAATTCTGATTTACATCTTCTACCACTTCTTCTCACAGGAAAATAATCAGTAATAGTTTTATTGGTAGTAGTAATATCACTCTCTACTTTCCTATAAAATAAATACCAGTATAATAATAAGATCACCATTAGTTCATTAGCCTTGGAAAATAGTTCATTTTCCATAAAGTGTTTAAATTTTAACATCAACCAGAATTTAAATGATTTCAAGTTATACATTCATCTTTTGAAATAGGTTGATTTGTCTTCTCCATTGCAAAAGCCTAAACATATCCATGAAGTAGCTAGGCTACATGATTAGTTCATGACCATACTTACTTCTTTCGACTTGTTTTTAGTTTAGGCTGAGATTCGGTTTTAACTTCTGCCAAGGTTTGTGCCGATTTTCCCTTACCCCTACGCCCTCTACGTTTTTTGGGTTGAGATGTACCAGTACTAAGGGGGGGTGTGGAGGGAACAGGACTAGGTGTTACACTTAATATCTCTACATCTTCAATTATCTGCTTACAATGACAAGATTGTTCAGTAGGTTCTGTTTTAACTGTAACAGCTTGAGGAGTCTCACATTGTTCACACATGCTTCTGTAATCTTGAGTGGAGACATTATTTAATTGTACAGACAGCTGTTCACAGTTATTATTGTTTACATTTGCATCAGTGTCCTTTTCTTTACTAGGTGAGGCGTCAGGTGTTAATAAAACTGATGAAGATTGTAATGAACGATCCAAATCACTGTCATTTTTAACTTTTAAAACTCCATCCTCTAAAACAAAAGAATATAAAATGTTATTTTACTAAGAACAATTATTTCTATAATAAATAAAAACACTAAGTAAGACAAAAGATAATCAAAAAAAAAAAAGGTGGATTTCACTATGATTAATCGAAATAAATCTTTAGAGCAGATGTCTAAGAAACTTTGAAATCATTTGAAATTTACATCATGAGTTTATTTAATAAAAATTATTTCAAAATTTCCAAGTTGATAGATTTTGAGTAAGCATACCTTTGACTAATCGGATTTTGACTGGGGATTTATAAAAATCTGTGATTTTTGTTGATCCATTTTTAGCTGGACTCTCTTTCTTTCTAGAACTCATCTTTCACCAAGCCCCCTTCTACAAATAGAATATAACAGATTATTCAAATAATAATTCAATATTTACACAATAGTGATTTTCTTCAAACAAGGCTAAACTCCATTCATTTCATCAAAGTTAATTAATCAAGAGTTTTTCATCGACATTAAACCAGTGGCGGCTCAAAGAAGGTCATACCCTCCAGCCCATGTAGACTATACATAATATTGTATATGAGTTATTGAGTCAATAGGTCAGATTACTCGAATAATTATACGAGGTTTAAATTGATAAAGAATGAAAAGCATGTATAAAATTTAAAAAAAAAGGATTATAACCAAACATTTTTTTGCATTTTTCTTGAAAAGTAATCTCGCACCATATTAGTAATTAGTCATAATTAGATATATAAGATTACTTCATGAGGTCACCTACAACCCTGAAGAAGCTTCAAAATAATGCTTTGAAGATAGGATTGCTACTCTGAACGACAGAAAGAGGCTAGGTTAGGGTAATTATTATCATTCATTCATACCTAGCCCTATCTCATCTTAATCTCAGCCCCCCTCCCCCGTCCCCGATTTTAATTTTCTTATTTTAAATGTCAACAACGCAGGTTGGAGCAAATATCTCATTGAATCATCAACAAATATGGAGTTTCTAACCTATCGTTCTATTAAATAGTTTAATACTGCTTGATGGATACAAGATCATATCAATTTAAACCTACATCAAATAAGAACATGGAAAATAATAATTTTTACTTTTTCGTGCCTGATATTCTCCTTTCTTGTTTATAAATAAATGTTGCAATCTGATTGGTCAACTAAAATATCGTCACTCCGAGTAAATTTGTGGACAAATTTTCTATAAATCTTTTTTTTAAATATACTTATACAAATAATTAGCTTGGTGAATAAAATGATTCTGTATTCAAAAAAGTCTAAATCAATCAATGAATAAAAAATTTGAAAAAAATTGCGTTGACGTACCTGTCGCAATGCATGCTGGGTATGAAGCAATGGCTGAGTTGTCTGAGGTGTGTGGGGATTGAAAACGTTCTCACTAATAATGGAAACTGAAGCCAATGTAAGAGACTTACATAAACGGTTTATGGTTATATATCTTCATGAAACCGTTATCTAAACATATATCAACAATTAACTTCCCCAACTTATATTTTTTCTGAGTATTTTCACTCTTCTTGTGTAAGGAAGTAAATGCGTTTGTTTCTCCACTGCTGAGTCAATGATAAATAAAGTGCACTGAATCAGTGTTGATAAAAATTACTACAAAATTGTACTTGAGTCTCAATGGACTTTGATTATTAGTTATAAATCATGTTTAATTTTTTCTGAAGGCTATTGTCATGGTTGACAATCTTTTTTTTTTAACATGAAATTGAAACTAGAAATATTAGAAATATAAAAGAGAACCTGAAACATGTTTTAAGTATAAGTTTCACCCTGTGTGATCTTCAGACAACTGATCTATTTCAGACTATGTTATATTAAATGAACTTATTAACTCAGTAGTCTCTATGTAAGGAAATTCAGGTTATAAAGTGGCAGAGATTTATTTGATATGATCTGTAAGAGTTAATATGCTATGCCTTACCATCACTGTTGTCTGATTGGTGTTCAGTCAACGTTTTTACATGTCAACTTAATGTATGAAAGTGTCCATTTTCAGCCAATCCTTGTAAATCAGAAGGAAATTAGCCTTTGGAGTTTACTTCAATTATCCTGCAAAGTCAAAAATAATTAACAGCAGTGATGAAGACTAAAAGAAAAAATCCTTAACTAATTCTCAGAGAGTCAAGAGAACAGAGTTTCAGGGATTTAGAAACGAATTAAAATTTCACCATTTCCTCAAGTGCATATTCCTGTTGATAGCCAATATGAAGACCTGATTGAGATCTCTTGTCTTGTTTTCAGCTCCTTCCAATCACTTTCAGAGAGTACACATAGTTAATTTTTTTTTTCCAGAATTCGTTTGATTTATTATCAGCAGCATTAGATGTTTCTGGTATAACTGGAAATGATTTAGAAGATTTTAGTTTAGATACTTCATTACATTCCCAACCTTCTAGTGGTTATAGCAGTCTTCCTTCGGTAAGCCATCTTGATTAAAGACCCACAAATAGACATACAAAAAGTATGTTAAAAAAAGCAGTTGTCCTGAAAAAATCTACTGACTGATATTCAAAAATTACAATACTCAAACTACCAATCTTTCATTGACCCTATTGATTTTGTAATCAAAGGAGATTTAATTTAAATTGTATATTTAAGGCTTTAGAAGATTCAGCTGCCACTAATGGAGGACATACAGACAGTGAAGTTAGTCAAGCAGATATATTTAGCCAGTCTTTACGACACTTAGCAGATTCAAACCATATTAAAACTAATCAGATTCCAAGTCCTATAAGTCATATACAGGCTTTATCTCGGGTCAAACCTGGAGATAATAGTAGCTTAGTATGTATCTTTATATTTCATTTGCATAATTACGTATGACTATTGTATGAAATATTCAATCATTCTATCAGGTTTCCCCTTGTCAGATGGTCATACACGGAGAAAGAGTCAAAAGACTGTAAACCATATCTACCAGTACCATATCTGTACATGTTAAAGATCCATTTCAGTTTAAAATTGAAAAAAATAGGCCAATGTCACTTCCCTGACAAATTGCTGTATAGAGTTGTGAATCTAAACTCCATTTCATTTTTTGTGGTACTGCTTAGAATTGATTAATCTAAGCATTAAGCATATTGAGGACGAATTCAGGTTGAAATTCTTACTTCCAGAATTGCAAAAAAAGTGTCGAATTCATCAGTGTATCCAACCTTTGATTCATGCATTATTATTTATTATTTTTCAGCTTAACACAAGATTTACACAATCCATAAATTCAGCATCACCAACAGTCAAACCAGTTCCTAAAATAATACGTATACCCAGTAACTCATTATTACATAGCAATGGACAATCAACACCGATAGTGACACGAATCTCACAGGGTGGTACTACATCACAACCTCGTGTTATTACTATAACTAGAGTAGCTCCTGGTGGCAATGTAGGACCAGGACAAAAAATAACATTAACACCACAACAAGCTGCTAGCCCAAGTCCAAAAATTATCGTAGCAAGCAGTGGTAATAGTGTTGGATCCTTGATAAACAATAACCGTCACTTAATACGGACCAATAGCGGTGATAGTGTCGGATCCTCAATAAATAATAAACATCACTTAATATGGACCAATGGTAGTGAAAGTGCTGATTCTTTGATTAATAACAATCGTCATTTATTACGGACCAGTTCACCTATTCAGGTGGTCAATCCTGGACAGATATCAAACGGGAAATTATATTCCAGTAACAATTTAGAACGAAATACTAATTCGCCTGTGCCTAACATTCCAAATGTAGTGAGTCAGTTTAGTACAAGTAGTAGTAATGTAACGACCATACAGCAGACTATAAAAACTAACATTACTAATAAAGACTTATCTCGACTATGGTCAACTGAAACTGTTAAAGTATCATCAATGCCTGGAATACAGGTTTGTACAATACTTTTGTCTGCTTACCAATCCATTTTCTCTACTTCTTTAGTGTTTTTCAGTGATCAGAGATTTTAAATCAATGTGAACTATTATGGTGAAAATTGCTTGGTATTTAATTTTATGTTTCTTGAAGGATAAAACTGTACTAATAAGAATTTGATCACTTCTGCTGAAGTGCCAACCAATAAAGTAAAAAATTCTAAATGTTAGAATTGTCTCCAACTCAATTATGCTCAAAATTTGCATCAACGTGACTCTTTTTTCTAGAAATATTAAAACAAAGCCCTGAAAAAACATGTTGTTATTGAGAGTTCAACGCTATGCGATTTTCAGACCACTAGACAATTAGTGGTCTGAAGATCGCATAGCGTGAAACTCTGAATAGCAACATGTTTTTAGCTCTACAATTGTTGTATTGAGCACTATTTTAACAATGAAAATATTTTATTATTATTGACTCTTATTTCTATATAAATCATATGGTTGTTTATTTGATGATATACTGGGATCATTTATTTTTATTGTGTGATATTTGTAGAGAATTGAAAGAGCACCTAGTCCATTAGAAGAAGAAGAGGCAGAAGAAGAAGTCCAAGAATTAGGTCATGCAGAAACCTATTTTGAATACATGCCTAGCAAATGTAAGTGGTTTTCTTTCATCAGAGACTCTTATCAGAGGCCTTCTCTTGAGCCCAGCCAGTATTCTGGAGTTTGTCCGGAAGGAACATTATGGATTTTTCAATCCAGCCTCTATCAGTAATGCAAGGGGATCTGGAAAAGGAAAAAGTGTCTTGTGCCTCTGAAGGGACAAGTGATTGGGGCCAGAAGGAGACTGGCAAGATTTCCCTTATTATACTCAATGGCTCAATCAGAAGTCTTTATGAAATTTGTGTTAAATAGCTAGACTATCAACCATGGAATTATATGTTCAAATATCAATGATTGAAATTTCAGTAAAAATAGGAGAGAAACATCCTGATCCAGTAGTAGAGACTAGTTCACTAGCTAGTGTTGAACCTGTGAATGTAAAATATAAAATAGTTATACCAGAATCTACTATTGATATGTGTCAACTATCAGCTTTACAATTAGAAGCTATAACCTATGCTTCACAACGTCATGAAACTATATTACCTAGTGGTGAAAGAGCTGGCTTTCTTATTGGTAAGTATTTGAACCTTTTTTCTCTTTTTTTCTTATTTTCAGTGCTGTTCAAAGCATCACACCCATCAGGAGGAACAGAAGAATATTTAACGAATGATATGCACATATCTAACATGACAGAATTCAACCATTTAAAATCTAATGCTTTTGAGGACAATTTGTTCTTTTTTAGTTACCATTAAAAAGTAATCTACTGATGTTGACGTTTGGTATTGGTATTTTGATGAATATACTGTTCAATTTGCATAACATTGTCCAATTAGTCAAAATGAAAATTTTTGCCTTTCAGCTTCTGCTGGGTAATTGTTATTTTGATTAAAAGTCTATAATATTAATATTTTTATTAAAGGTGATGGAGCTGGTGTAGGAAAAGGAAGAACTATAGCTGGTACTATATTTGAGAACTATTTACAAGGTAGAAAGAGGGCTATATGGTTGAGTGTGTCCAATGATTTAAAAGTTGATGCTGAAAGAGATTTACGAGATATTGGGGCTGGCAAAATAGAAGTTTATGCTCTTAACAAAGTAAGCCTATTAACTATGTTTTAAATCCACAATCAACTTTTTCAGTGGTTGTTTTCGAAACTTGAATTTTTACGTCTTCTGAAATGTTAAAACTGTACAAAAACAGTAGAATCCATGCCAATATACCTCAAACTAGAAATTCTCTTTCCATTTTGATCTTTATAGGTTTCCCACTGTCAAATTGAGCCTCTTGTGTGCATTGCAAAACTTATAATGCGAAATACTTATATTTTTTTCTGTAAGTGTCCATCATTAAGAAGTTTTCAAATAAATTTATAAAATTTTATGTTATATTTTAGTTAAAGTATGCCAAGATATCAGGTAAAGAAAATGGTAGTATCAAGAAAGGAGTTGTATTTTCTACATATTCATCTTTAATAGGAGAAAGTCAGTCTGGTGGTAAATATAGAACTAGACTCAAACAGTTATTAAAATGGTGTGGTAAAGATTTTGATGGTTTGGTATCCTTTTCAAATATTATATTATAGTTTGGCTGTTATCTTTCAAAATATGTGGGTGACAGTCAGTTGATTTTATTGCAAATCTGGATTTTTTCGTTATTGTTTTATGTGGACTACCATCCTTGATCTGACATGATTGTATATAAGTTGTGTTCAAGGGAATTTTGACCCAATAGAAGCCATGCTACAGCTTAACCCAGCCATGACTGCCACTAAAAGTCCTAGAGAGTCATATTATAATTGTTTTTTTTTTTTATCCTTAACCTATATCATAGATAGTATTTGATGAATGTCATAAAGCTAAGAATCTGTGTCCAGTAGGTTCTAGTAAACCAACCAAAACTGGTAGAACAGTCTTGGAATTACAGAACCATCTACCATTAGCTAGAGTGGTGTATGCTAGTGCTACTGGAGCATCAGAACCGAAAAACATGGCCTACATGACAAGACTGGGTATATGGGGACCTGGAACACCTTTTAAAGAATTCAATGATTTTATTCAAGCTGTAGAAAAGAGGTTTGTTATCATTTTCCCATTTACAGCTGCTTCACCCGAATAATAGAGAAAGTTCACAAGACTTTCACACACTAACCATGTCCACCATATGCTACATGTAACCAAATAATTCCAATGCTCTAACCAACTGTGCTACAGTCCTGCTTGTATAAAATATTTCCCATATACTGAAACACTTTTATTTTGTAGAGGTGTTGGTGCAATGGAATTGGTTGCCATGGATATGAAGTTAAGAGGCATGTATATAGCTAGACAATTGAGTTTTAAAGGTGTCTCATTTAAAATAGAAGAGGTCACTATTGATAATAGTTTTCAGAAGATTTATAACAAAGCTGTAGACTTGGTGAGTTATTTTAGTTTTGTCTGCAGAAATTGTGGTGGTTCAGTGAGTAAGGCTCTCGCCCGCTTTCTAAGAAGATCTTTTCAACTCTAATCCAATCAGTCATGATACAGATTAAAGGCTTTGACACGTAAAAAGAGTCTTGACACCATGTGTGTCCTCATCAAGCTAAAACTACGCTTGCAATCTGAATGGCAAAGAATATAATTAAAATTAGTTGGATGTTGTGTTTATTTAGAAATTCTAATGTCATCAAAGAACTTTTCTCAATTTTTGCAGTGGGTTGATGCCAGAGAAAAATTCCAGAAAGCAGCAGATTTAATAGATGCGGAACATAGATTACGGAAGTCCATGTGGGGTCAATTCTGGTCAGCACATCAAAGATTTTTTAAATATTTATGTATATCAGCTAAAGTCAATTATTGTGTACATATTGCTAGAGAGGCTGTGAAAAATGGCAAGGTATGTTGTTGGTTTGCATGTCTGTCTGTTCTCAAATTTGAACCAGAGCTATCCCCCTATCCAGAATATTGGAAATTTTGAGAGGAGAAAACATAAAAAAAAACAGCAATGTATACAAAATAGCTGCAATATTTCTGGAAAATCACTGAATGTAATATAATTTGTGTTTAGATTGAGTAATTCATACGTAAGTTATATGATATATTTGAGCACATCCAGTTATATTAAATAACATCAATAATAAGATACTAAGTTAAAGCGAACTTCAGGTGTTGTATGTTTTTAATTGAACGCTGAACAGAAATATTTTTGCTTAACTATACTGTAATGTATTTATTTGTATTATTATAGTGTGTAGTAATTGGTTTACAATCTACTGGAGAAGCTAGAACTCTAGAACAGTTAGAAGAAAGTGGAGGAGAATTAAATGATTTTGTCTCTACAGCCAAGTAAGATCATTTGTTAATGATTATGATAACTTGAGATACTATTCTAGGTGATAGGGATTAGAGATCAGATTTTTTTACCTTGAGGAGGAATCAAACCCACAGAGCCTAATTACATAGCAGACAACTATAAAACTTTGTAGTTGGCTCTATTTGATTATAGCCCGACCTTTGGATAGATAGTTCATCTAGTCATTTGAATATTGAGTAATAATATTTGTCCCCTTCTGGAAATTAATAGTTATATTTTGATATTTTAGGGGTGTATTTCAAACTCTAGTAGAAAAACATTTCCCAGCCCCTGATAGAAGGAAAACATTTGATATGTTTGGTATTGGTAGTTTAGTCAAGACAACAGAAGAGAAGCTCAATAATAATAAAAGGAAGAAAGGTACCATTTTAATTACACCTTAATCAATTCCAAGGAATCCTGCTATACAGGGTTCAGTTCAAAGTCTCACACAAAATTTTAGGTTTTTTCAGTAAAATTCGATTCATATTTTATATGAATTCAGATTGAAGACAACAGATCAATTCACTGAATGTGTTTTATTTTGACTATCAAACAGCGATGTGATACCACTTATAATAAACCCCGCTGCAACAAAAATTATGTTATTTTTCAGATTTAAATGGAGGTAGCAATGCTAAGAGAAAGAAAGGTGAAAATGGTTGTTCTGACTCCTCCTCAGATGACTCATCAGATAATATGGATTTAGATCTTGGTGAGTCATCATCAGAAGAGTCAGATGGAGTCAGCGATAACTTCAATCCATTTGCCAATGGTTCAGATAGTGATGATGGTAAGTTATTATTAAATAAACTCTTCAAAACAACCAATACAAATGTATCACATTGATAAGAAAAGCACCTTAAAAAGTGGGAAAATCCATTAACAGTTTAGGATTGTCAAATAGATGATCTGCACACTAAGTACAGCCTTGTATTCATCAACAACTCAAAATTTTATGTTCTTACAGACACACTGTCAATTGTTTTTTCTTCATACAACAAATATACTGCTTGTTGGAAAATATACATTTGTGTATGATAAGCTTATAACAATATCCATTGTTTGTAGATCCCTGGTTAAAAAAATCATCTGGTAAAAAGAAAGAAAAGTCACCAAGAAAGAAAATCAAAGCTAAGAAACATAAAAAGAAAAGTAAGAAAAAGAAGGATGAGAGTGGAAGCGATATGGATGATGAAGATGAAGATTCATTATTTGATAAAGCTCTAGCTAAAGCTGGTTTATTGAATAGAAATAATGATGGTTTTACTCCCACCAATCTTAATCTTAGTAATGGTAAGTCACCAATCTTAATCTTAGTAATGTTAAGTTACCTATCTTAATTTTAGTAATGGTAAGTCACCAATCTTAATCTTAGTAATCATAAGTCACCAATCTTAATCTTAGTAATGGTAAGTCACCAATCTTAATCTTAGTAATGGTAAGTCACCAATCTTAATCTTAGTAATGGTGTGTCATCAATCTAAAACTAAGTAATGGTAAGTCACCAATCTCAATCTTCAACCTTGATCTAATTAATGGTAAGTCCAGAGTCTTAGTGACTAACAGATAACTATTCATATTTATTATTATAGGTGCTACTAGTGTATGGGAAGAAGCTATGACTATGAAGAGTGATTTACTACGTAAGATGGAAGAAATAGGAAATACTTTACCATCCAATGCATTAGATCAGTTGATAGATGAACTTGGTGGTACAGATTGTGTGGCTGAGGTACAGATAAATACAATTCACTTCTGCCATACAATTATTAAAACCATCTTTAACTGAATTCCCCCTGTGACACAGGCTGTAGGAGTGGACATGGGAAGTGAGATTAGAATTGGACAATAAAGCATGGCATAATGAGCATTTGCTGCATGACTACTATTTTTCACTGATCATGAAGAAAAAAGAGATGACTTCTACTGCTATCCTGTCAAAATTTTTCCTCATTGTGCGCTGCATACATATAAATAAATATCTTAGTAAGATTAAATTGAACATTAAAAGAACCGTTCTTTACATTGAAATGGCTGAAATCAATTTAAAAAAGATTATAGTACAATGTAATTTTTAAGGATACAAAATTGACTCTTTGTATATTTACATTATTGAAGAAAGATAAAGCTCAACTTACCTAGATTATGATATTAAATATTTGTATTTAACAGATGACTGGTAGAAAGGGTCGTATTGTATCTAATGAAGATGGTAGTATTAATTATGAATCAAGAAGTGAAACAGATGTACCATTAGAAATATTAAATTTAACAGAAAAACAACGATTTATGGATGGTGAAAAGGTAAACAATTTAACAAATTTGTATAATGTACTTGTCTATATCAATATGTTACTATTATTAGGTTAACACTCAAACAGTAACCAGGGAAAAATTTTTGAGCCTACACATAGTAAATTGTTTAACATCCATTCATCCATGACAATATGTACTGCTAGTAAGGTAACTCACCTGATAGCACTTTGGAACTGTATTGGCTAAGGAAGCATCATGTTTTTAAGTAAAAATTTTACTGAATAGTGATTTAAATTAAAAAAAAAAGATCATTTAGATTTTACAGATTTATAAAACTAATTTGACTGATTTGTGTTTAAATGTCACTGCATCAAATTTAAATTTCAAAAATTTTATATTGCAGGACATAGCTGTGATATCAGAAGCTGCTAGTTCAGGTATTTCATTACAAGCTGATAGAAGGGCAGTCAATCAGAAAAAACGTGTTCATATTACTCTGGAGTTACCATGGAGTGCTGATAGAGCTATACAACAGTTTGGTCGTACACATAGATCTAACCAGATACATGCCCCAGAATATATCTTCTTAATATCAGAATTAGCTGGAGAAAGAAGGTTTGCTTCTACTGTAGCTAAAAGACTGGAGAGTTTGGTAAGTCACAATCTAAAATTTTGTAACTTAAGTAAAGTAAAGTAAAGTGAAAGTGTGTGTTTTGACTCAATCCTGTCTCCCATGGTTCAACAATATATAAGTTTATCTGTGTATTGTCTTAAAGTCAGTTGGGACTTTTCCATTCCAGTCATTGATGAAATTATGAACTTAAGCTGGTCATGAATTTTTCCAAAACATTCAGATTTTCATAATACTTTATTTCTTACTTTGCCATATGATAACTATATGAATTTTTCCTAATATATCATGTAAAATTGGCAAGTTGTTAGGACTAAAGACAGTATTCATAATTAAAACATCATTTATTATTTTTACAGGGTGCCTTAACACATGGTGATAGAAGAGCTACAGAGACTAGAGATTTAAGTCGTTTTAATATTGATAATAAGGTCAGTTATTTTTTTTTATATTATTTCTGTTCTGTATTGCTAGTTTCTCAAAATTCACATGATCAATTTAGTATGGTATTGTGGTAATTCCACACACACAACAAATTTTAATCGAAAGATTTTTTTGAAAAACAGGAATATAGAATTTTGCCAAGGACTAGTCACATGACTGTGTTTGCAAAAAATTCTACATATCAAAATTCATCATATTGAAGTAACAGATTATTGAGAAAAGGAAGATTTTTTTAAGGAAGCTGTTTATTCTGTTTTTTTTTACATTAAAATCATTGCCCCATTTTAACATCAAAATCAAAATTCTTTTTGTTATATTTTACAGTATGGTAGAGCAGCTTTAGATTCTGTTATGAAATCTGTATTAGTTTTAAATGGTGAATTACCTCTAGTGCCTCCACCTTCTAATTATAGTGGTAACTTCTTCTCAGGTATATACTTTTTTTTAATCTGGACCATCTGATTACTATCTGGAAGCACTCTCTGGTTTGAGCACAGGTTGTAGGACAGTCAATATCTTAGGTTCTAATCTCAGTCGGTGTGAGAAAGTCCTTACTATACCAGTCAACCGAGTTGTAAAAGGGTTCCGGAAAGATCTGTCTTAAGTGGTTTGAGACAGACATAAGAAAGTTCAACTGTCTGAGAATGTTGATTTGATTATATCTGGCCCAAAAAATCTAAATATCAAACAATTATGCCTTAACTTGGTAGTTTTCTTATTTTTTGATATATTATAGATGTTAAAAAAGGATTAGTAGGTGTAGGTATGATGTCTATAGATGAAAGATCAGGTTATGTTAATCTTGAAAAAGGTAAGTTTTTAACACTAACTTCTCAGTCAATTGAGGAAACTGTTTAGCCAGTTTTTCAAGAGTTGATCACACTACGACTGTATTGTGGTACTGGATGACATTACAGAATATCCCAAAATGTCTTAATTGATTCATTAATGTTTCAACATTGTATTGAGACCAAAAGTTTTACCAGTTTTGGTTTTTGTCATGCTGAAACTGCTATTAAACACTTCAGTTGTATTTATTTCTAAACCTATATAATTTCAGACTATAACAATATCAGCAAGTTTTTAAATAGAATATTGGGTATGGATGTTGAGTTACAGAATGGTTTATTTAAATATTTTACTGAAACTTTAACAGCTATTATATTAGAAGCCAAGAGAAATGGTAGATGGGATATGGGAATTTTAGGTAAGCTGCACATCTTCAAATTCTTTTATGTGGTTTTGAAAATGAATATTAGCTCACATTTTTCAAGGATTGGTAAGAATCAATTGCACACCGCCATCTGTATTCAGGCCATCTCTTCTTCTCTCAAAAGGGAGATAACTCTAAATAGAGACTTGATATTTTAAGACCACAATATAACATAAATATGTTCCAAGTTCTCATGGAAACTTATATATTCTATCAGTACAAGCAATTTCTTTACTGAGTTAGAAATTCATTTGCAATTCAGTTTACATGATGTCATATAGTCTTTTTATAGTCAACTTTTAGCAAATCTCTAGATTTACGTTTGTTGTAGATTTGGGATCTGGTCAAGAAAAAGTAAGAAGGATAGAAACTCAGTCTTTCCTGGGTAATGAGGCGTATAATACAGCTAAAACTGAACTGACTACTGTAAGTTAACTCTTTACTAATTATTGGTTCGATCGAACATCTGCATAATTCTATTGTTTTTAGACAGTCTGCTATTTAAAGGAGGGGTGAGAGCCAGCACCATAAACACATTTATGACTAAATTTTCCCAACAATATATGGCTTTTGATAACAGTGGGAAATCAGTTTTCTGTTTTCTATTGTCTGTAGAGGAGTAATCATTGTGATATGAACTTCATTTGGTTATAAAATTTCAGTCTTTTAGCATTATTTCCCACTCTCAATTAAAAATTATACCACTGTTATTATAATAAATGACTAATTGAAGAGAAATAACTAATAATATATCAATCTATTTATAGTTTATAGTAGAAAGAGGTATGACATGGTCAGCAGCAATGGATTTATGGAGAAAATGTTCCAGTACTGACGAAGGATTTTATGTAGCTAATCAGGTATGATTCTTTGGATTCACTTTTGAAAATAGGTAGAATATAAGCATGTCCAAACTACTAAAACCAAAGATTTTCAATAGGCAACATTTGAGTTTCCCCAAAATTATTGAGGCCTTTATTAGGTTGGCATCTCATTAGACACTTAGCTTGAGTATGGAAAAATTTGACGTTTCAAGCTTTCCATTTACTTGGTTCTGATACTTAAGTAGATCTAAAGAATGAAAAAAATCAAAAATTCTGATTTGTCATATAAACATAGTTACATGATTTAATATTATAGGATAGAAACAGTAAGAAAACAGCAGTATTAGCAGTATGTTGTGGTAAAAATAAAAAGAAAGAAAAACTCTATACTATATATCGACCAAATACTGGTCTACAATCACGTAGTGAAACATTAGAAGAAATTAAACGCAAATATAAAAAGGTATGGACAAAAAATAGATATTTGAGAATTTCCTGTAATGCCTTGGATTGTGTTAGGCTTCTCTGTTTTCTCTGTCAAGATTCAGGGTATCAACTATCTAAATATGCTATTTTGTTTTATTTTTCTGATATTTTTGTCTTTAGACAAGCCAAACCTAAAGTAATGCAATATGGCAGCCCCCTCGCAGCTGATATCCCACAATCTAATAAAATGATTTATAAGTGAATGAAAATGGTGATATTTTGTTTATTTAATTGTAGGTGTTACCAGATCAGTGTCAGTTTTGGTGGGAAGATCAGTATTATTTCTCAGCTAAATCTTGTATACATTCTTACTGGTAAGAACTTAGTACATTGTTTAAGGCATTGAAATGTTTTGCTAGACTATTATTATTTGTTGTTAGATAATTTTGCATATGAAGTATATGTATAATTACCAGTATTCCCAATCCCAGTGGTTGCTTTGGAGAGCTGCTGTGTTTCAATTAGTTTAAGGCTTTCTCGTTAACTAAAGGTCCAGGGTTCAATCCCATCATAAGTCAAGATATAACCTTTAGATATTTCATCATGTCATTGATGTAGGTTTAAGGGGCTGACATCGAAAAAGTGTCATATGGGAAAATAAATTGCTATGTGATCCTTTGACAGTAGTAAATTTGAAAAACAGTAGGCTTATAGTAAAGCCATTGCCTGGCGAAATTCATCTCATTGCAAACTGCATGGCCTTGCCTGTTACCTGAAACAGGTGCAGAAAAGTGGTATGTGAAAGTACATTTCATTTATTCCATTTTCAATGGTTGCTGAGATTATGTGATAGAGATTAATGTTGATTGATATTATTGTAGGAGAGGTAACTGTAAGAAAGTCAGTCTAGGTTTACCATGTGAAATAGGATTAAGAACAAGAACCTATCATGTATTAAGTGGTTCAGTATTAAGTGTATGGAGTAAAGTAGAGAGTGTATTAGCTGCTATGCCTGGTGGAACTAGTTCTAAAATGCAGATCATCAGATTACGTACTGAAGATGGACAGAAGATTGTTGGTAAGTTGTGGATTGTATTTCAAGGAAATGTTTTGCCTTATGATTTGAAACTTGACATTATTTGCTTAGTCACTTCAAGTATATGGTTTTTATGATGTCTTATCCATTCAGATGAAGAAGTTTTGTAATCTTCAGCAAGACATTTGCCTTATTCAAGTTGTCCAAGGAACAGCTGGTAGATCCTAGAGAAAATAAGTTTCTAATGACTACTGCAGTGTCTCAGTGAGTTTGACACCTGTTTGCCAAACTGAAGGTTCAGAATTCAATACCGACATAATTCAAAATAATTTTCAACCCTGATTCAGTGGCTGACATTGAAAAGGCAACAAGGTGCAGAAAAGTAGGACAAAAAACTCCAGTTATTACATTTGTCATGTCAAAAATATGTCTTTTCTGTAAATTGTAATTTTTGTTTTCTTTTGTTTTACAGGTAGTTTAATTCCAGGTAATTGTGTCAAACCATTAATTAATATATTATCACAGGGCTCAACTAAAGTTTATACTTGTAAACATGCCATTCCAATAGAAGAACCTGATAAACTCAGTATGCCTGTGTTTGTCTAACTAATATTGTGATATACTTACTTTAAAACGACATTCACAACTTGTGATACATGGAAATAACAAGTTGTGATGGAAATTGGATATTGTGTGATTTAAACTTATCGATGATCAGTGTTGAAATTGTGTGGATATTTTAAAGAAGATGGAAAGGAAAATAAACATTAAAAATTAACGGTATGGGGTTTAAAATGGATTTCTTTTAATAAATTAATGTCATGAAATCAATCAAGACTATTGATGTTATATTTAGAGAGGAAAATGTTTCAGAGTGGTTGTTGAAAAATAATTTGAGTGTTTTTCAACACGTAGTGTAAAATGATATTTGTGGATTAAGAAAGAGAAAAAGTGAAATTGTGAAGTACGTAATAGTGAATTTGGTGGAAATTCTTTCACATTAAAATATAATGGTGTTGAATGAATGTGACTAAGACTATAAAAATGACACTTGTTGAGTCAAAAAACTAACATTGTTGCAGCAGAACTCAGTTTTTGGCGGCAAAATAGAAAGGATGTGAAAATGTGTGATTTTGGTTATTTGATAAAGAAAAACTAAATAATGTGATAATTTCATCTTAAAAATGAAGAAATTTTATTTATATGCAATACATTAGAAAATAATTTGTGTTTCATTTATATGTTATAATTGACAGTGTTTGTATATACATAACATATACCAATATATTAATTACAGCTTTTATTATGATCTCCATAATTTGCAAGATGATTTAATTCAGTGCCAAATAGCAACAGACTATATATTATAGATGCTTAGAAATGAATTGGAATGAAAAATTAAACCAAAGACTAACCAGTTGCAATTCATGAAGTGTTTGATTTAGAGTGGAGAAAGTCAAGAATTTAACAAATCATTTGAATTAGACACTAAAAAGGTTTTAAGTATATTAACATTGTTTGCTCATTAGATTTGAAAAAAAAAACATGATAGGAATAAAACCACACAATTGCACTCTGCAACTGTGTTTTGAAATTGACTTCAATTTTGACATTCATCTCGGCTATCTTTTTCATTTGTGTACAAGTTGAGTTATGAATTTTGGATATTTTAAGTTGCTTGTCTCTATAAGAATATAGTGTTCACATGGCAGATTAGTAAATTAGACCAAATGGATTTAATTCTAGAGTTGAAAGAGCAAAAAAATCAGTAGTTATTGTTGTAAAATGTAGTATTTATTGTAGTTGTGGATGTTCTTTGTTCTTTTACCTATTGTTTTCTTCAATATTAAACCATCTTTATTGAATACTATTTCAGAAAGTCAATTTGACTAAAGTTCACTTTATATCTGCTTTAAATGCAGTTCTATTGTAGAAAATGTTTTGTGTTTCTGTAAAAGAATATAATGTCTTTTGTTCAATAAGTTCTATGTAATGTATTTAAAAGAATTGCACTGGCCATTTGCACCATCATGGTGCGTGTTCACTATGGCTGCTTACAACGTTACAGATAAGGAAGGACACTATAGACGTGCCAATTTTTTTTATTTTTTTTTTATAGCTTGAAGTCATTTTGATTGTCAATGAGTGACTTTGTTATAGTTATGTTTTTTTAATGCCCATTTTATACCGTCGCAGTACGAATAGCCACGGCCTTAAAAAAAGCTCATTTTTTTTTATATAACACTCAGCCGTAGCTTCTATGGTCAATGAGATGAGACCAGAAAACAATAGGTAAAAAGAATAATATTATAAAAAGATTAAAATCTAATATTATTGAGTATAAAAAAAAAAGAAAAGTGCCTAATGATTGAACTGTAAGTGTAAATATAGTAACAGGAAACTATAATACAGCAACTTCTATGTCCAAAGATTAAAATATTTTATTATTCTTAAATTCACATAAGGGAAAATTGGATCTTGTGGTTGACCCGAGTGTTCAGAATTTGGTGTCATCTAGTTGATTTTAATTGCTAATAATCATTAAATTTCTCAATGTGTATGATTTGCTCCAGTCGAGTGACATATCTGTAAATGTTTTGAATCAGCTGTCAAATTTTTTAGGCTACGTTAAATTAACAAGAAATGTCATTGATTTTGTCTCTTTAAAAGAGTTGTCAGGTAGCTGAGGTAGGGCATGTGTTAAAAAAAAAAATAGTTTTTGAAAAATGTTGATAAAAAGTGTAATTGTTAAAAACTGTTCAATAACATTGTTTTATGTTAAAAACATTATATATTTTATTATTGTTATCAAGTCATCTTGTGTTATAACTTTCTGTATATAATTTGTAAAAGTTTCTTATGAAAGGATGAAATTAATGGATTAGTATTTGTGCATTCACTACAGCTTAATCTTAGTTTGAGGGGCAAATTTTTCCAAATTGATTTCTTTAAGTTACAAAAAATGTTTTGTACAGATTTTGTGAATAGTTTGTCAATAAGTCATAAATTATTTTTCTTGTTAAATGTGAATTGTTGAAATTTTCCTAAAAACATCTTTTGATTTTGATACAAGTTAATGTATGATAGTTATACCATATTGTTGTTAAAACATTAAAAACAATTCCATTTCATTTTTTTCCATCCAAGTTTGTTACAGATACAGGTTTTTGTAATAAACTAATCTCAATTATGTGGTGTTTTTATTTTTATAACCCTGTATGACTGTTCATCTATAGTTGAAAGTTGACTGGTCAGTTTTCACATTCATTGATCAAGGGGCTCCATCTAATTTCTTGATTGTTGAAGTTATTGCCCAAGACTAAAAGATTCTATGATTTGCCATGTGCAGAAATCAAAGTTGAGTTGAGTTGGTGTTTTACTGCCCTCGACTTGAGACAAAAATACTTAAAAAATTGGCTAGTTGGCTCTTAAATGTCGTCTGGAGACATTATTATGCTTTCAGTGCAAAAGCTGTCACAATATGTTAGATTAAGAAATCTCTCAGTTTAAACCCTCAATCTATTAACATTACTTACCCCCTCTACATGGACCATATT